TTTTTAGCAATGTTATAACATTATATATATATTAATATATAAATATTTTTTTTAATTTGTATCACCATTAAAGGTCATGTGATATAAAAAATTTATTGCATTTTTGAGCATAACTTACAATTCTGAGTTTTGATTATTTTTCCCAAAATTGGCCACGAGGCGCAGCAAGTTGCGGGGCTAGGTGGCTTGCACCATATACCTTTATTTGGATTGATGACCAGACATTGTGCCAATCTTAAGATTGGGATTAGTCTAAATTCGGACTAACAATTTTTGCTAATCCAAACCAAATTCTTAAATTATTTATATTAAATTATTTTGCTTAATCTCAAGTTTTGATCTCTAATCAAACTATTTAAGATTCTTCGATTGTACTTCCTTCTTTTGAAGATTGATTGTTGAAATGAACGGCAGAGTCTTTGAGTCGGAAAGCTTCACAAAGAATACCACCGCATGCATTTCTACCTGTGCTCATTTTTTCTTCTGCACTTTTAGTCCCATGTCTTTTTTTGTCGTTGTCGTTGTTGTTATCATCCTTTGGAAGATAAGTAGATGTGGTGGTGGTATTTTCATTATTGATTAAAATGTCGGTAGTTGTAGACTCCTGAGTATCAGCAGTGTTGGAAAGCTGCATGACTTGTTGATGATCATTATTATTGGTGTCGTTATTGTTCTCCCCTAAAATAGAGGCAGATGCGGTTGTGGTGGTAGTTTTTGGATCAAGTCTGTTATTGTTATCACTTTGCATAATAGATTTTTATTTATACTTTTTATAATTAATTACTGATTAATTATTGTCTATTGGTATAATTTAATTAAAGAATAATAAAATTTTTTTTTATCCTAAATAAAAAAATAAAAAAATTTTTTTTTGTAGACACTTTTTTGTGTGTGTGTGTACGTAATCAATTAGTGCACAAGTTATAATTACCATAGTTGGCTTGGTCTAAAGACCTCCCTAAATTTTGCATCAATTTTAAAAAGTATAGAAGTCACTTTCTGTCCTACCTTTTAAAAAATAGCGTTATTAGTTGATAGGATAGGCTTTAGTTTTAATGTAGTAATTTTCTCAAAAAAATTATTTGTTGTAGAGTTCTATTATTTTTTAGTACATGTATTTTACTATTACTATTATTATGTTCACGAGAAATTTGGCCATTAGATCATTACTAAATTTAGACTAGATCTCGATTATCGCATCTAAATTTAGCACATTTTTTGAATTTGGCCATATGGCGCAGCAATAGGAGGTTTTTAGACCGAGCCAACCATATTATTATACATTAAGAAATAAACCCTGAAAATCAAAGATCAAACTGGTTACATTTTGATTATATTCAAAGCAAGCATATCTCTTGCATATTTATTTTACAAGACTTTAGTTACACAAGAGTTTTGTTAATAAAAAAAATTTATATAAATACCCAAGGTTATGAGAAATATATGACATATTCATATTAAATAAACTTAATACATACATGTACAATCATTTTGTACTATAAGACAACCATCTGTAAAAACATCTACAACTACCACTTTCTGTCAATCCCACCACCCATTCCATTTTTTTTTTTATTTTCATAATTTTGATCACAATAATGACCAAATACAACTTCAACAAATGTTTTCTTATTATGCTATATTTTCATCTAGAATGATTGGAAGAAACATTGGAACACTTTATCAATTTCTCTCAATAAAGTTTATTAAAAAGTTGTTATCTTTAGTATTCAGCTTCTTGATAGGCAACTAACTTCATATCAATTCAAATTTGTGACTAATCCTGGCTTTTGAATATTTGAATGATAATTAGTTCCATATCAAAATATCCTTAATAAGAAGGCCTTCCAAACATACCAATTAAAAAATAAACCATTTATTTGGATGGATGTGTTAATTGTACAAATTTTTACCAATTTTATGTTAAAGTTCTGTAATTTTATTATATGGGGTATGCTGTAACAAAACCAGACAAAGTGAACATTGATATTGCTAAGAATTCCAGGGATCAAAATTTAGTCATTTGTAATGTGATTATAATTAACAGTTTTATAATATCCCATTTGTTAAGTGATATATAGAACTATCCCTATATAAAAATAATTAATATGAAACTCATTTACATTAGATCTACCATGGAACCCAAGAATTACAGCACCATTAGAAGTATTTTGAAGAAGGAACAAGGTGAGAAAATCGCACCTTATATTTTCAAAATAAATGATACTCAAACACTTGAGGCTTATCTAAGAAAAGAAAGGATTACTTATGAAATTTACCATGAAGAAAGAAAAATAATAAATGTTGGAAAAAGAAAGCAGCATGAAAGTATGCTATTGCCTAACAAAGGCAAAAATCCTTAGGAGAAAAATAATCTAATTGTTACAATATTGATTTATTTTTTTCTTTTAATTCTTTTAATACATAATTACAAAACCTAAAAAAGTTATACCTGCTATTCATAATCTGATTTATCATTATAATTTCCTTTATTCTTTGAAATAATGTTCTTATATTTATCAGCAGTGTTGGAAAAATCTTCATCTTTTAAATCTGAGACAGTATTTTTAAGGTGGTAGATATTGGGAGCTTGAATATGTCGACTATGTTTATAATCAGGCATTACATAAATTTTCTCTGGACCAAAATTTTTTACTGTGTTTTCAATAATCACATGATTATCATCAATATTCAATCTCAGCAATGGGGAAAACTTCTTTCATTAGGGTTATTCCTTGTAAGATACATGCTCTCATTGAGCTACAATCCTCTATCATAGAGTGGGTTATATGGGCAAAATCCCTCATTTAAAAAAAAAACAAGTTCAATTGGTCAAATAAAAATAAAAGAGAAACGTTTTGATGATCATTTGACGAATCGTGTCAACACACAAAAAAAAAAATTTGTTCGCCACAATGTTTCGCATTTCAATTTTGCTCTCATCCTTCTCCAAAAATTCAGTCTCCAAAAGTTTCATGGACAAGCTTTTGGAATTTGTAGTTTGCAAAATTCCAACTGCATTGCAATCTGCAAGTTGCAATTTGTTGCATTATTCATGTAGAAGATTTCCTTCTTGGAAAGATGTGGGTTAGTGCGTTTGACAAATAAGCAAGATTTAACTGAGTATTTGTGTGAGCTTTTTATAACAGATAATATAAGAACTAAATAAGAATATGTGTTAAATTAATGTAAATGATTTATATATTTTTATTAGTTAAACTTAGTAATAATGATAAATTAGGTAGAATAAAAAAAGATCATAATTTTTTGACAAATAAATAAATAATATGCAATAGTTAAAATTTTTGAAATATATTGAACAAAAAATGTTCTATTCCAAATTGATATTTTTTTCACGTCTTTATAATAATTGTTAATTAAATAATTATTAATTAAAAAAATGTATAATTCGAAATTAATCCAAGTAAAAAAAATTAATTTCAAATTCTTATTAATAATATTCTGTTTCCTTATTTTGATATGAATAAAAAGTACTACTCTTAAAAACTCATCTTTTTTTTTCGATCATATTATCAAATTTCATCCTTTTTATTGTCGTGTTATCCGAGAAAGGTAAATACCTTTTTTTTGTAGCCCACTCTTCTTCCAAAATCATTGATTCAATAAATTTAATTGCTGATTTTCGTTGTGTAAACTTAGTACCAATCACTTCTTTCTCATTAAGCCAAAATACGTTCCAATTGTCTTTTAGGTCAGTTAGTATGCCAATAGCAGAAATATGATTTGGAGTGATTATATCTGCGATTATCATCTGCATTACTACTTGATACACATCGACTGGTTGCACTTGCTTTTTCTAGTAAATATTTTTTAAAAAAATACTGATAGGTAAGAGATCGCAACATTTAGAATAAACTCAATACAAATATACCTTACCAATTCAATTACACTTCGAATTCCAGTTTGGGGAAGAGTTTCAGCCGCAGTCTCAAACAAAATAACGTCTGTGCCACCAGATAAATTAAATGGTAAACGAGGGTCATTATATAATTGAAGAAATGTCTTATTTGTTGCAACGTCAAGGATCGAAATTTGTGGTAATAAGTTGATATGCCTTTTGAGATAAGACATATAATTTTTACGTTGTGTTTCATGACTTTCAGGATAATCACTCCAAACATATTCCTCGATGTCAACAGTTTCATCTAATGAGTCATTAATAATCCATTTTATTTTGACATCAGTTTTGAGAGAAAATGCTTGCCAATTAGTTGTATTAAAGGAAGACAAGGGAATAGTTTCTAATTTTTTTGCAACAACTTTTTCATGGATTTCTTTGATTCGGTGAACGACCTCATTAGTAAGAAATAGTCACAGGACATGTCACATCAATTGATTTTCTATATGTGAAAATAAATTCGAAATTCGTGTCACATGAAGTTT